AGGAATTAGCTGGTAATTGTACCTTATAAGCCACAGCACCAATCTTTTCAAGGACTGGATAAGGTCCATAGTATTTAGGAGCCAGCTTTGCATTACTTCTAAATGCCACAAATATTTGTCTATATGGATGGAGCTTGACAAAAACCAAATCCCCAACCTGAAATTCCCTTTCTGATCTATGTTTATCTGCTAACTGTTTCATCCTCTCCTGTGCCCTTTTCATGTGAAATTTGGCTAGTTTAAGCATTTCCTCCCTCTTTTGTAAACTTCTGTCTACTAACTCCACTTTAGACTCTCCTGGTAGATATGGCAAATAAGTAGGGGGAGTCTGTCCATACACAATTTCATAGGGGCTAGCTTTTATAAAACTATGATAAGTGGTGTTATACCACCATTCAGCCAAAGGAAGCCATTTGGACCACTGTTTAGGTTCATCACAACACATACACCTCAAGTATGTTTCAACACATCTGTTAACCACTTCTGTCTGACCATTTGTTTGAGGATAGTAAGCAGTGGAAAGCTGGATTTGAATGCCTTGGACTGCCATAAACTCCTTCCAAAACTGACTTACAAACACAGAATCCCTATTACTTGTAATGGTAATGGGAAATCCGTGTAGTTAGAAAACATTATCTAGGAAGCATTGAGCTACTGTTGCAGCTGTGTAAGGGTGATGTAAGGCCATAAAGTGGGCTGCTTTGCTCAATCTATCAACTACTACAAAGATAACTTGCTTGCCAAAAGAATTAGGCAATCCTTCTATAAAATCCATTGTAATATGCTGCCATACATGGTCTGGAATGGGTAATGGCTGCAGCAACCCAGGTGATGCAGTAGTATCATACTTGCTCCTCTGGCACACTTGGCATTGCTGTACAAACCTCCTAACATCCTTGGTCATGCCTTTCCAATACACTACTGATTTTACCCTGTGAAGAGTAGAATCTCTACCTGAATGTCCCCCACACGCAGAAGCATGTAACCATACCAGAATTTGTCTTCTTACTTCCTGATCTTTACCAACTACCAATTTCCCTTTCCTTCTCAGCTCTCCCCTCTGCCAAGAAAACTGCTTATGAGAAGCATTGTCAGCCTGCAACTCCATGATGATCCTTTGTAAGTTTACATCAGTTTGCCAAGTGTTTTTAATTGAATTCAGTAACTCAGAAGTAGCTTGATGAACTAGTAGAGCTGAACATTCCATCATGGATAATGCATCAGCAGCTACATTCTCACGCCCTTGCTTATATTCAATATTGAAATCAAACTCCATCAATTTAATTAACCACTTCTGCTGGAATTCCGTAGACAACCGTTGATCTAGAATGTACTTTAGACTTTGATGATCAGTTCTTATAGTAAACTTCTTAGGTAGTAAGTAGTGTCTCCATTTCTGAACTGCAAACACAACTCCTAGCAGTTCCTTCTCATAAGTTGAAAGTGCTTGCTGCTGCTGATTAAAGCACCTACTAATGTAGGCTATTGGATGTCGGTCCTGCATTAAAACAGCTCCAACTCCTTGTCCGGATGCATCTACCTCAAGCACAAACTCTTTGGAGAAATTAGGTAAGGCTAGAACTGGTGTGTTGCTCAATTGAGTTTTTAATTTCTGAAAAGCACACTTGGCTTCCTCTGACCAACTAAAACCATCCTTCTTGAGCATGTCATGCAATGGTCTAGCTATGGTGCTATACCGGTTGACAAATCTTCTATAGTAGTCGCCAATCCCAAGAATCCTCTTAATTGCTTCACAAATTGGGGTAAAGGCCATTGTTGCACAACAATTATCTTAGCAGGATCTGTAGCAACACCCTCTTCTGTGATGAAATGTCCCAAATACTTCACCTTTCTAACTCCAAAGTAGCACTTGGATTTCTTAGCAAGTAGTGAATGGTTTCTCATAATGGATAGGACTTGGTATAAATGAACCAAATGGTCCTCAAGACAGGTGCTATATACTAAAATATCATCAAAAAATATCAAGACAAACTTCCGTAAAAATTCTTGAAACACAGTATTCATGAGTCCTTGAAAAGTGGCAGGGGCATTTGTCAGCCCAAAGGGCATAACCAAGTATTCATAATGCCCCGAGTGAGTCTTAAAAGCTGTCTTGTGCACATCCTCATCAGCCACTCGAACTTGATTGTAGCCAGATCTCAAATCAAGTTTAGAAAAGATTTTGGAACCATGTAACTCATCTAGCAAGTCATCTACTAAAGGGATAGGAAACCTGTTCTTTACTGTTCCTTTATTCAACTCCCTGTAATCTATGCAAAGTCTCCAACCACCATCCTTTTTACCAACCAAAACAACTGGGCTAGAATAAGAACTGCTACTGTTCTGAATGATGCCCGATTTCAAGTATTCCCGTATGATTCCATCAATGATGTCTTTTTGTTGCTTTGCATATCTATAGGGCCTTTTATTCACAGGATTTGTACCTTGAACCAGCGGAATTCTATGATCATGTTCAGCTCTTTTAGGGGGAAAAGTAGTTGGCTCCTGAAACACATCTTCAAAATCCAACAACAATTTCTCAATGTTGTTAGGAACAGCAATGGAATCAACATGGGTTGATAAGGAGTGTAATAAAACACCTTCTCCTGTTTCACACACCTGTAGCATGGATATGTGGACTCCAGCTAAAAGGGTCTTATCCAACCGCTGTTTCCTGACTGTCTTAAGTCCTGTACCTGTGGTGCCCCTCAACACAAGCCTCCTACCATTCACCATAAACTCCATGGTCAATTTCTCAAAGTTCCAAGTGATATCCCCTAATGTAATCAACCATTCGATACCCAGCACCATGTCACAACATCCCAAGGGTAACAGCAGCATGTCAGATTTGAAGAATGCATTATGCAGCAGCCATGAAAATCCTTTGACCATACTGTTGATCTGCACCCTAGCACCATCAGCCACCGTGACACTCAAAGGATCCATGCTAGAAATCTCGCATCCCAGCTTTTTGGCCAGGTGAACATCCAGGAAATTATGAGTGCTTCCACTGTCAATTAGGATATGCAAAGGTTTCTTTTTGAAAAGTCCAGTGACCTTCATTGTTCTAAAGCCAGTAACTCCAGTCAAGGCATTAACTGAAATTAAAGGTTCTACCACATTGCTTGCATCTGTTTCCACTGCTGGTGGGGATTCCTCATCAGAATCATTGGCCTCCTCCAACTCCAAGACATGGATCTGTAATTTCTTGTGGGTTAAGCTATGAGCAGGGTTGAATGGTTCATCATAAAAGTAGCAGAGACCTTTGGCTCTCCTTTCATTCATATACGCAGGGGTTAAACTTCTAGTAGTTTGTGGTTTGGGCCGGTTGATTTCTGACGTTAATGTAACATATACAGATCTTGTTTATCATTTATTATAAAATCGTATAAATTAAGAAATAAATAAATTGGAAAATCATTACAAATAAAATAAAGAACTAGTGAAGAAATTTAGTTACGAAAAATTGTTTTATCCTCACTATTTTGAGTCATAAATATAAATTGTCATTAATTTTATTTTCTCTCGTAATGAATGTGACTAAAATCATCTTTCAAGAGCCTAGGTGCAAGAAGAGTTTCTCAAGGTATATTTTTAGATGAAGTTAAGCTAGTCTGTTTTGTTAGGCAGATTCAAGTTGACTAAATTGAGGAGTCTAGCTCATCTTGTTAGAAATAGATGGGAGGTAAAACATCCAAAGAAATAATTTCTATCAATAGGTCATGAGTAGGCATGACCAAAAAAAATTTGTTTTGGTTAAAGTATGGTTTGGATTTTCTCCCAACTTGTTAAAGCAAGGTCTAGTCTGGAACAATGAGTAACAGCCAAAATTCTTAGACTGTGTAATCAGATACTTGATCGAGAACATGGGAAATAATGATGAAAAAAAAATGAACTCATTTACAAAATTATCATCCTATAGAGTGTACGTTCTAGCACTACATTTCTTTTTTGAGTAAAAATTTAAATTATTCTTGCTTGGTATATATACATCAATTTCATTAAGTCTCTCCATGTTTTAGAGGAATATTTGGTCGCATATATATTATTTAGACTATAGTGGTTGCATTTATATAAGTATTACAATATTGTACTCCTTTCTTATTGTTGGAATATGCTCTTAACTCTTGAGATATATTATTAGCACATTTTGACTATTAAGGAGAAGAAATTTGAGTTCCGTTGATTGGCGCAGGTCATAAACTTCTCATGTTATAGAATTGATCAAGATATAAAGATATTGAATCCATTTACATTCGGCCATTTACATTTGGTAGCGACTATAAAAAAAGTTACTTTGATAAAAACTTGAAACTATAATTTATGGAAGAACTCTTTATATAATTTATATAATATTCAAAAGTTGATAATTAAAAAATAATCTATACAAATTAGATGTAACTTTCACTGATTAAATATTATTTTAATACTAACAAAAATCGATTTTGGAAACATTAGTCACATTAAAATGACCTTCTTATCTCAAGACAAACCTTATGAACACTAAATCAAAAAGTTAATTTCTTTAAGAAATTAATATATTCTATCAATAAGAAATATTATAATGGGGACAACCAATATTCGTAATAACGAAAAAGACAAGTTTTAGAGCCTACCAGTGGAATAGGCAAGTAGTTGTAGTATATAGTTGTACAAATTAATGCACAAACCTATGATTTTACATTTATATGATAATTACTACCTGAATCTTGTATACTTGTTCTTATATTTTGTCACTTCAGTTGAGGAAGTATCACTTTTTTCCTAAACAAAAATTCAAGTTGACTAAATTGAGGAGTCTAGCTCATCTTGTTAGAAATAGATGGGAGGTAAAACATCCAAAGAAATAATTTCTATCAATAGGTCATGAGTAGGCATGACCAAAAAAAATTTGTTTTGGTTAAAGTATGGTTTGGATTTTCTCCCAACTTGTTAAAGCAAGGTCTAGTCTGGAACAAATATATTTGACTTGAGATTAAATTCTTTGTATTTATTCTGTATTATGTATGTGGGGTAGAGGGTGTCACAATTAACATCAATTTTCGCTCTATTTTATAAATCAAAGGGTTCCTATAAGAACTATGTGCACTCACAAATTCACAAATAATTCGATTTAAGTGCAATTCTCTACACATACAACACAATTAACATCCATAAAGCTTAGAAGAATCACACAGAACACAAATTCACAAGATACAAGTCAGAAAATGGGATTCGTACCATAGAGCACATATAAAGAACATTATGATTGAGGGTCAATCTCACTACCTAATAGATTACCTACACTCTAGAGTAACACTAGCAAACGATTACAAGCCTCCAAGATGATCACATTCATGCTATTTAGGAAGTTCTTTAGTTCTAGAGAGAAAAACGCAAACATAAAATAAAAGTGTAAACTAACTAAAACTTTGAAAATCTCCCCTTCTCTTGTAATAAAACAAAACATAATTAATAAAAAAGAATATCATAAAACGCATATTTCTGAGATACTCATAATTAAATGAATTAATTTTACAACCTTATTTAATTAAAAGCACATATAATTATATAGAAAGAATCTTAATTAAATTTCAAAATAATTAATTAAAATAAATCTTTTTTTATTAATTTTAGAGAACTTGGGTGTTATAAATAACCTTTTGCTTTTCTCAAAAACCACTTTTTATAAATTAGAAGCATTTTTGATAACTTCTCTATTGAAAATAAAGAATATTTTTCAATAGAAAAACTCTTAAAAATTCTTCTAAGCTTGTATTTAAACATGCTCTAGATCACTAATCAAATCACATGAATGAGTAAATTATAAAATTAACAATTTCATATAAAAGGAGTGGTATAAAAATTAGTTTTGTCACATATATAAATCAAACCGATAACATTGATCATAGTTAGTTATGTAATATAAATTAATTGAAAGTGGATAACTATTAAAACTTAATTTAAGTATTTTTTACCATAATATTAATGGAAGTATCTTACAACTTTGTTAGGATTAATCTTTCTCGATACCTTGACTGCACTAATATTATCTCTCCTAATGTTTTTTTTATCAAACTCAACGAACTTTGGTTAATTTATACATATTTGTACACGATAGAAAACTGATAAAAGCAAATTATGTTTAAAAAAAATCACACGAATTGACTTTAATGGTTATTTGAAAAGGTGATATCAAACAAAATTAATTATGATAATTTACCAGCTAAGTCTCAAATATTCATTTAAAGTTGATTTAGTTTACTATAAGGCCTGAAAGCGCAACACTAATTAAGTTTGACACACTATTAATTTAATAGTTATTAATAAAGGAAAATATTTAATCAATAATTAATTATGAATCACTGCTGTAGAAAGGATCATTACCTGGGCCCGAAAAAGATGTCTTTTAACCTTCATATATTGGCTAGCTTAAAGCCCCGCATAAGAGAGACCTTTTCCTTTTGCCTTTGCATTGATATTCTCAGCTTCATCTTCGTCGGTAACCAACCAATTGTAAGGAAGCTGGATTTTAGGTCCAAAGCTATTGTTGCTGTTTTTTACATAATCAAAGTCAAGATACGGTAGATCATCAGGATTGGAATGAGGACGTTTTCCCATCTTTGAAAACTTTTCAAAGTCATCTAGATCTATATCTTGCTCAAATATGCTCCTAATCCCCCATCCACAGATTTCAACATGTGGGTGGCCTTTAAAGGTGATATGTGCCCCTGATTTCACAAAATGACAGTGTTCCTTTGAGATATAAATGATCCAAAAGTATTTTGATTCATCAATATTGTCCACTTCTAAATTAAGTGGCATATCAAAATACTCTTCTGTGTATTCACTTTCAAAGGAAAGATAAAATGGATTGTGGGAAGAACTAGAAACTGCAGGACCATTCTTAACCTCAAATGAAACACAAAAGGAAAAGCCAAGCCAGCTGTCAGCCTCACTAAACCCAGTTATCCGCATTACAGCACATCCGTCAAATATTTTATAGTCTTTGAACCACAATGACGTGTCAAGCCAATCCCAAGGAAAAACAATGTCGAAACCACACCGAAAATGATTTGGTTCCTGTCGCCGCAAGGAAAATCACAAACATTTTAATATAATCAGGTTATTAACAAAAAGAGATTTTTAAAATTAATCTATAAAGGCACTCCTAAAGATATATTGAGAAAATATTTCATCTAAAGACAGAGAAAGGGAAGGTAAGGATTGTAGAGTGCGAACCTTAATTAGTCTCACAAAAAAGCGAAAGTCATAGCGGAGCCATGATCCGTTCCAACAAGGCCTAACCAAACGCTCCATCTTGGGACAATCGAAAAGATACAACCCTGACCTATGATCACGAGATCCAGATACCGTTTTAAAATATCTTCCCGCTGGTGTATCGTTGTCAAGAGGAAGTTGAGGCAAACGTTCAAGCTTACTGCAATGAGACAAGTTTAAATATGCTAGACGACGTAGCCGAAACAAATTAGGTATTGAAACAAAATTGTTCCCCTGTAGATTCATTCTTTCTAAACACTCTAACATAAGAATAGCATCAGGTAATTCAAGTAGATTGCAAAAACTTATGTCCAGAAAAATCAACGGCATCAAATAGGATGCATTTACGGTTATTCCTAGGGAAAGATTCACAAGTTTCAAGCAGCCACGTAAATCAAGAGTTTGAAGTGACGACATGGTATTAATGGTATGAGGTATAGAGACAACATTTTTGCAATCTCTCAAGCTCAAGTATGTAAGATTTGCAAGGGATCCAATAGATTCATCAATCAAGGTTAAGCTTGTACATCCATCAATGTCAAGATACTCAAGATTTGTTGCACTTGTAAAATCTGGAGTATTTTTAAGTTTAGTGCAACCACTGAGGTGTAGAACTCTCAAAGAACTTAGATTAGATTTTTTATCAAAGTTGATGCTGACTAGATTGTTACAGTTTCGTAAACTTAAGAAAGCAAGTTTTTCAAGAAGTCCAATTGTTGGATGGACCTCCGATAAACTTGTGCATCCAGAAAGATCAAGTCGCTCAAGTTTTGGGATCTTAGAAAAGTCTGGACTCTCTGTAAGATATTTGGAGTTACTCAACTCGATCCTTTTCATATTGGGAAAATTCTGTGAAGAAAGAATTAACAACCATCTATTAGCATCTCTTTTTAAAACTTAAATTACATTACTTAGCTTTAAAAATTAAAGACATGACTTCAAAAGGTATAAAAGTACCTTGCAGCCTTCCCACACACGTTTGATTTTGCTATTAGGCATATTCAGTTCCACAAGATCAATTGCAACAAAATTTGATGGCAAAGAATCAAATGGGTAATTATTCCACGAAAAATATCGCAACTTGGAAGAAAGATAATCAAGGCTTCCTGAAAATGTGCTATGATATAATATGAGTAATCTAAGGTTCTTCATTCTCGACATTCCTTCGATGTTACATTCAGTTATATCTTCTCTTTTATTTAGCACTATGGCTTGAACATTATCCGCTCCCTGTAAAATAAAAATAAAATAAAATAATAATTATCCAATTAGATATTCTCTCACTTAAAAAATAAAATAAAATCTCTAATAATTTTTTATTTAATTATTAGATTCCAAAATTATTTTATGAAGAAAAAATAGTGGGATATAAATGTTTTTGAATAAGTAAATTAACTATCAAAAATTTATATATATATATATATAT